TCAATGTACAGTGTACTAGCTAAATTAAAAGGGTTTTCTGGTTAATAAAAACAGAGTCCAAATAACTTAATAAAATAAAATAACCTACTGGAGAGTGTCTGAGGTGAAGGATGTAAAATAAAAAAAGCCACTTCCTACCAATTAATTATCACAAAAGCAGAGGTGTTTGTCTTAGGGTGTTTGTTCTGATAGGTTAAGGTATAAATAGTGAAAATGTTAATTGTAGGTGCAACATTGGTGTATGTGTGTTACCATGTGTTCTTTCTCTTAGCCTAAACAAAACTGAATGACGTTCTGACGTCTGACGTAAAAGGTAAAACCTCCAAGGGTGTAACCAGGAAGAGATGTACATTATAAGCTGAATTCATTATTATACTAGAAAGAAAGTTGTCAGGGTGTTAATCTCTGCTTCTGAGCAGAGTTGCGCTGCTGTGTTTGGGTTTTCCTGATATCAGCCCAAGGTCTGACTTGAGGCCTGGGTGCTGAGTGCTGTATGAACCTGATTGGAGTCAGAGGACTGAAAATAAAGTTTTAAAGAAAAAAATTAGCTGAATCATGTTTATTTTTCGAATAATTTGGTAGTTAAAGGTATGGTGTTGAATTCTCTGTTTCTGAGCAGGGTGGTTCGGCTTTGTTTGGGTTTTTGTGAGGTGAGCCCAGGGCCTTACTAAGGCTGGGGTTGTATAATTWATCTTTGTGTGAATATGTTTTCTTTATTTAGTGTAGAGACCCTATAATGGTTAAAAGGACGAATGACCACTAATACCCTTTAATGAGATTGATATTTCGAACTGATATGATAGCTGTAATTGGATTTGCTGCAGCATAAATTCATAGAATTTGTGACAAAAAGACAATAGCGAAGCGATTTACAATGTCTAATACACATTTTCATCAAGYTCTAAAGGGGGAATAATTAATTGGGATGGGTTTGTTGTTGCTTTGAATGTGAACATAATAAATGATAACTTTTTGTTTTATAGGAACTAAGTTATATTTTGGCCAAACGGAGTAACTAACCTGAAAAGGGGGGGAGTAGAATGTGTAACTGAATGATGGAGAAATGGTGACGTCCCCTCTCCCAGAATACACCTGGAAATTTGAAGGTTTTAAAGATGTGTTGTAGGTATATAACAAATTTGTTATATGCTAAAAGGATCAACTAAAATGTCATACAGCCGGTAGAGACATCAGTTCAATCCCAGTGAAAGAGGTGGTGATTCTGTTTCATCGTTGCTCTGTGAATAGATCATTCAGAGCAAGATTTTTACAGGTCATGACAAGCCTCGATTGGGTGAAACTGATAGGACAAAGACATTGGATGAAAGAAAGAAAAAAACTGCTTCCAGTGCGAAAACAACATGRATGATAATGTTTAACTGTATCATTTTGACTGTGTCAAAACATAACAAATTCCACAGGTCTCGAGCTTGGAGTAATAAAATTTTGGCTTACAGATGGAAATTTACAAGGTTTCACTGAGGTGGTGAAAATRAAWGTTTACTTTTCAGGACAATACAGCGSATGATGTCAATCAGATGTGAGCAACTGAGATGTGAATAACTGCYCATGCGTAACCATTCTCTTTCAGGATTTATAATTTAAGTTGGTGATGCTTACAGGGGGTACAATGACTGTCGGATGTTTAGTTACAGTTTATATTTATTATTAAAAGACAGTTGTACGTGTTAGGCCTGAAGGTGGCAGTAGGGAGATACATTGTGGTTAATTGAAATGATGGTGTGTGGCTGTTGAATTATGTTWTTAGTGTGATCATTGTAGGARAGTTAGATGAYCATTTGGGTGGTTTCACATTGAAGTGGTATATTCTTTGGCTAATTTCTACCAGTAAGGGGGTCTGTGGAGATGGTCTAGCAGTGATTTCTCAGTGGCTGGTAAACATGGTGAGAATAGAATTATAAAACAGCTTGAGTCTATAATGTTGGCTGGGTAGTGGTCTGATTACATTTATGATGGTTGGTGTTGTTAGTAGCTTAGGGCCGTCTCCCAGACAAKTAGCTGSAGCATCTTAGAGCAACATCCACCTTGTGGGATGTYGGATGAGACAAGAAGAAGATGCCCTCCCTGGGACCATCACACTATCCATACTAGGAGGACAAGGAGTGAGAGCATGGAGTAAAAAGCCCCAAAGTCTATAGCTGAAAATTTTAGATATAYAATGATAACACTGAAGTAGTTACACTCACYTAGTCGGACATGAAAATTTGTAGGTTAATGAGTCGAGTGTAAATGATTTTTGTAAAATGTTGTTWGATTTTTCCTTTGTTTTTCATTARTGATTCATTTTATAGAAGTGACACATTAAGCAGGATATGTTTAYAAATGTTTTAAKATTTTGGGTTATTTGTTTAATGTTCTTTGTATGGATTAATTGTTGAGGAGCTAAGGTTAAATCTTAATATGCAGAGATGTTGTTATTAACTGGGTCAGTCTGATGTGGAGGACAGGCGGAGATGGAACAGTGCMAAGGACTTGTTCCCGACGGTGGGCCAAGTTCTGGAACCTCTGGCCTCAATTAGAATAAACACAGCTGACCTGGTTGGTATTTGACAATAGTTCAATTTATGTTTTCTATTTTGATTGGGGTGGAATAAATGGACCATATTACTTTATATCAGGGGTGGGATGTTAGAAAATTTCCACGTTGTGCTGTATCGCTTAGGGTAATTTGCTTACACATTTGTGCCTTAATGCGAACATATAGCTTATTATAAATTTCTTATTTTAGTTCACATGATTTGGTCATGTGAAAAGGGGGATTGAAGAAATTTATATTTATTAGAGGTTAGTACTGATGTTAAAAACACAACACTACATTTTTTAGGTTTTCATTTTTATAATGTTGACAATGTTTAATCTATTAGGTTTTGATTAATATAGATTATTATTATATGTCCAAATAATATAACAACACATATTTAACCGTTATGAGAACAGTAGGTGAGAATTTTGTATGAATGCCTGTGATTAAGCCGTAGGTCAGTAGGGGGCGAACGCAGGCATTGAAGACCCTGTTTGTGGTTTCCTGTCAGCTCCGGTGACAATAAACCAGAATTCTGGTTTTGTTTGGTTTATTCCTTCTACAAATCATATTATTTAACAGTGATGTTTTTTTATTGACTTCAGTCTTTGAACACATAACAGTGAATGATGACAGGTTTGAGAGGCCACTGCAGAAGATAAATGGTGTATGTTCACAGGGGTCAAAATAGTCTGAAAAACAACAATTTTAAGWGTAGTTCAAACTCAGGATGGAGAATTGCATCAAAGTTAAAATTCAGTGCAACCTTTGATTCTCTCAGAAATCTGTCTCTTTGTGTATAAATTTGCTTTAATCAATCAAACACTRACGGAATCTGACTGAACTTAATCAAATTTAAATGATTTTGAATAGAAAGTGATGAACACTTACACAAATTTATATCTAAATTCTTTTGAACATAGTTTCATTTGGTTTATTTGGCTTAAACAATAAAAATAATATTTGAATGTCAGGAGCCAGTATTTTATAAAACAATCAGAAAACKAAACTTATTTTTTTAGGAAACAAGTATTTTGTCTGATGTTCCCGGAAGCTGATGAGGACTTAAATGAATCTTTTGCCTCTGTAAAAAGGGACAGCAGGGAGCTCAAGTTTAATCAAAGTGATACATGTAAGTTCAATTTCATGACACTGGTGTCACAATAACAATAAAAATATACACAAGATAATGCAGAGAAGAATCTGAACAACTTTGTTTAGAAACTAAAAAGCTGTGTATGTTATAGAGGAGTGGTGAATAATTTACAAAGTGAAGAGAAAGCTAGCAAAATAAACTATGAGCTAATTTGAAAAATAATAACTTAAGAGATCAACAGTGAGATGGATGTTTACCTTTCAGGCTTTGTTAATATCCTACAGGACCACTTGCTGCTGACAGGAGTGAACTTTATAACTAACTCAGGTTTTGGCTTCTCAGTGGGATTTCACTCACCCTCTGGTTATCTTTCTTTTTTATTGACTTACAACGTATGACTTCATTGAAATTCAAAATTTATTAGGACCCTCACATGTGAAGCYTAAGTGGGAGTCATGTTGTTTTCGTACTGTTTTTTTTTTTTGTTCAGTGATTTTTGGTCAACCATAGCACAAAAACGGCTGCACATGAAATTTCGCAGGACTGTAGATGAGTCCGACCTACACTGCGCCAGCCAATGGTTTTACGATAGACCCCATATTTGAGGAGGGMGCTCCATCCAAAGAGGGGGTGTCATGCTTATAACTCAGAAACTGTTCAACATAGGAACTTCAGATTTTTTCTGTTGTTTAGCTCTGATGAAGCTCTATCCTTCAGGCCCACCAATCAGTGCCCCCCCACAATTTATCTGAAAAAGGGGTATCTGGACATACAAAAATGGTTATAACTCAAAAACTATTGAACATAGGCGCTTCAGATTTCTTTTGTTGTTTAGCACTGATAAGGGGCTATCCATCAGGTTAACCAAGTTCTAACCAATAATATGTCTACATATAATCCTACTCATTAATAAATGTCCATGGGGAATATTCTAGAAAAGTGACACTTTTAAGAGCTAACTTCAAGTTCCACATAATTAGGTAAATATAAGACTGTGGGTAATCTAAGTATTTAAATATTTCAGTGTTTATCTAATAACCCCCTGAATCAACACCAGTAAAACTGAATACAGAAATGCAGGCCACTGCCAAGCAAGAGTCAGCATGAAGACCAAGAAATTCAACACAGAGGTCAGACTAAATTGTGGATTTTGCTTTTTTTTTTATATCAATTCATTCATGTTATATGTTTTAGTACCTCAATACTTTTACCATCTCTACATGAGAATTAACTTTCACATGCTAAATGCCAGTTYTGATTGTTGCACAGCTAAAACCGTCTTAAACTACAAGTTGCAYAGTAAGAAGGACTGGATGAAATGAAGAAAGTGAGACGTCTGTAGTGTTTCTGGTGATTATTGACCTTCTTGTCGGTGCTGTGCTTGCTGGGTCTGGGAGGCAGCGCGTAGTAGTGGCAGATAGAGCCAGACAGGTTGTCCATCAAACTCAACTCTCCCTCCATTGAACCCTGGATGACCAGGGAGACTGAGTCAAACTGAGCTCTCCGCTGGATACACTTGAATAGTYCAGAAAGAAGAAAGGAACAGAAAGGGAGACACAAATGGGGAGGAGAAAATGTAGAGTTAAGACAAAAATGGGAAATAAGTGACAGATAAATAAAAACAGAAATACATAAATACATGCGGAAAGAAAGRCACAACAAAAAGAGTAGGAAAAAAGAAAGTCAATCAGGTAGATACAGATATGCAAACAGAAAAAAACAGAAGAAAAAAAGCTGAGAAACTAGATAAGAACTATACAGTGTTTAACAACTAAATAAACTGCAATATAAAATGTTTCCTTTTCTACAGCCAATACTGCTCACATGCACAATCCTTCAAACCCACAGGAGGGCACTACAGCACTGCAGCASAGACAAATGCAGACTATCCTAAAGAGGAAAAATGACAATCACAAGACTTCTARTTCCTTTCCCAAAGGTTCCCCACTGTCTGAAAATAGCTGTTGAAAGTGAACAACAAGACCTCAGGGTTCAGCTTTCCCATGGCACTGTGACCTGTCTGTGACTGGCATGGTGCCTGCAGGCACCAGCCACCCCACCACTTCTCACACACACACACACACACACACACACACACACACACACACACACCCCAGCCCACTGTACGTCCTGCAGAAACAGGTAAACAAAAACAGAATGTGTGTAGAACACCAAACACAGCAGGAGGAGAAAAAAAGGCAGACAGCGCAGCGCAGTGGGGCAGTCTGGGTCGGACAGAGTTCAGCCGAGGCTGCGGTAAAGAGCTTCGTGATCCAGGGAGACAACACAAGTCAGTCCCAGACTGAGGTGACTTGTTCATTTTAAATGAAATATGTCATCAATCATTGTATATGTAATGAAACTTTACTTTTTATAAAACATAATTTGTTTAGAACAGAACGATCAGAAATGTTAGCTTGTCACATTCTCTCGTCCTGACCACACCTCGGCGCCCCCCTCCTCCGTCCTGCACTAACCACTGTAGGCATTTTTAAAATTTTGCCTTGGGGCGGAGTTAATCCTTTCACGGGGTGGGGGGGGAATACACTTTAATGACCATCACCCTGTGTAATTAGGGCCTAACAACTGGAGTTTCTGTCACTAAACCAAAATTATATATATTTTTAATTATGTTTATTAATTTGTCTTGTCTATTATGACACGTGCAGCTGCCTTTCTTGGTCAGGTCACCCTTGTAAAAAAAWGTCTTGATCTCAATTTAAAAAAATCTGGATTAAAAAAATAAAAATTCATCAGACACAATGAATTTCACTGGATTCACTGTACATTTGCAGTTGCAAACCTCTAACTTTAGTTAAAAGCCCATTTACCCGTGAAATAATGAAACTACCTTTTTCTCTTTTGTTATATTATGAATTTGAAATATAACAAATCACTCAGGAGAATGATACTGAGGCATGTCTAAAATACCAAACAATCCTAAAAACAAAATGCAACATTGACACCCCAGCATCTAAACGTAACACCAACTCTGCTACATGCACCAGACACATTCTGCAGAACAAAAGGTCAATTACCTCCAGCTGTGGCTCTGGACATGGTGGTTCTTCTTTGATGTTTACAGTGTCTCTGGTTATATCAGCAGTGAGTGAGTCCATAGGACATTCCCTCTCCTGCTCCATTTCTGCACCTCTAGTAGACCTCCAGGGGGAACCCCCTGAACTCGACCTGTCCATGCCCAGTGCAAGAGGGTTGAGCTGGGGCGACCTTGCCTCCACTTCCGCCCCTTCCATCTGGAGCTCCAGCTCCAACTCTGCTTCAAGCTCTGCTTCCTCCTTTGCCTCTTTGTTGCTTTCTTCCAGGTGCTTCATCAGGACCGCAATGACCACGTTTACCAGCACAAACTGAGCAGTCAAAACGAATGACACAAAGTAAATGGGAGAAACCACAGTGTTGTAACAGGTGCCTGTGTCCTGGGCGCAGTCCCTCAGTGTGTCCTGCAAAAACGGTATAAACACAACATGAGCATATTGTAACACCAATAAAGTTATACTTTTTTGAGGCAGTTATTACTAATTGTGTATGCATGACAATATTAGATTTATAAAAAAAGCTTATTTTACATTTTACTTTCTGTCTCTATTACAGATAATAGTTGTACATTTCTGATCTGTGGCTGAAATGATCTGGACACACGGCTAGTAAACTGATACAGTAAAGATACAGGAACTGCAGAAAATCAACACTGAGCTTTTATGTGAACTTCTGGACGGGGTCTTCTCTAATGAAACGTTTCGTCTCTCCTCCAAGAGACTTCTTCAGTCTGAGAGTTTC